GGGGTGTCTTGAGGGGTTTTGGGAGGGTGGTGGCACCAATTTGGGGGTGTCCCAGTATAGGGATGTGACAGTTTTGGGGTGTCACAGCATGAGGGGGTGGTGACACCGATTTGGGGGTGTCACAACAAGGGGTGGTGACACTGTGGCACTGTTTTGGAGGTGTCACAGTACAGGGAGGTGACAATTTAGGGTGTCACAGCATGGGGAGGGATTGGTGACAGAGTTTGGGGGTGTCACAGCACAGGTAGGTGACAGTTTTGGGGTGTTAGAGCATGAAGGGGAGGTGACACAATTTTTAGGGTGTCGCAGCATAGGGGTGACAGTTTTGGGAGGTCACAGTACAGGGAGGTGACACAGTTTGGGGGTGTCACAGCATGAGGGGGTGGTGACACCGATTTGGGGCTGTCACAACAAGGGGAGGTGACACAGTTTTGGGGTGACACAGCATGGTGAGGTGACAGTTTGGGCATGTCACACCACGGTGGTGGCACGGATTTGGGGGTGTCACAGTACAGGGAGGTGACAGTTTTGGGGTTTCACAGCATGGTGAGGTGACAGTTTGGGCATGTCACACCATGGTGGTGGCACTGATTTGGGGGTGTCACAGCACAGGTAGGTGACAGTTTTGGGGTGTCACAGCATGGGGGGGGTGACACAGTTTGGGGGTGTCACCTGTCCCCCCCCCCAGGTCCTGTTTGTGGAGTCCATCTGTGACGACCCCACCATCATCGAGGAGAACATCAAGGTGAGACCCTGGGGTGTGACAATGGGGGCTGAAGGTGACAACGGGACATGGAGGTGACACTGGGACATGGTGACAATGGGACATGGAGGTGACAGCAGGGACATGGAGGTTACAATGGGGGCTGAGGGTGACAATGGGACATGGAGGTGACAATGGGGGCTGAGGGTGACAATGGGGACATGGAGGTGACAATGGGGACATGGTGACAATGGGACAGGGAGGTGACAACAGGACATGAAGGTGACAATGGGACATGGAAGTGACAATGGGACATGGAGGTGACAACAGGGACATGGAGGTGACAATGGGGGCTGAAGGTGACAATGGGACATGGAGGTGACAACGGGACATGGAGGTGACAGCTGGGACATGGAGTGACAACAGGGACATGGAGGTGACAATGGGACATGAAGGTGACAATTGGGACATGGAGGTGACAATGGGACATGGAGGTGACAATGGGGACAGGGAGGTGACAATGGGGGACATGGAGGTGACAATGGGGGACATGGAGGTGACAAGGGGACATGGAGGTGACAATGGGGATCTGGAGATGACAAATGAGGCCTGGAGGTGACAACGGGGACATGGAGGTGACAACAAGGACCTGAAGGTGACAATTGTGGCTGGGAGGTGACAACAAGGACATGAGGGTGACAATGGGGATCTGGAGATGACAACAGGGATCTCAAGGTGACAATTGAGGCTGGGAGGTGACAACTGGAGCTGGGAGGTGACAAGAAAGACCAGGAGGTGACAATTAAGGCCTGGAGGTGACAACAAGGACCTGGACATAACAGCTGTGCCTGGGAGGTGACAATTGAGGCCTGGAGGTGGCAACTGGGACATGGAGGTGACGGCTGTGCCTGGGAGGTGACAACAAGAACATGGAGGTGACAATTGGGATCTGGAGATGACAACTGAGGCCTGGAGGTGACAACAAGGACTTGAAGGTGACAACTGGGGACCTAGAGGTGACAACTGGTGCCTGGGGGTGACAGCTGGGCCATGGAGGTGACAGCTGAAGGCAGGAGGTGACAACAAGGACATGGAGGTGACAACTGGAGCCAGGAGGTGACAACTGGGACATGGAGGGAACAGCTGTGCCGGGGAGGTGACAACAAGAACATGGAGGTGACAATTGGGATCTGGAGATGACAAATGAGGCCTGGAGATGACAATTGAGGCCTGGAGGTGACAACAAGGACCTGAAGGTGACAATTGTGGCTGGGAGGTGACAACAAGGACATGGAGGTGACAATGGGGATCTGGAGATGACAACAGGGATCTCAAGGTGACAATTGAGGCCGGGAGGTGACAACTGGAGCTGGGAGGTGACAAGAAAGACCAGGAGGTGACAATTAAGGCCTGGACATAACAGCTGTGGCCGGGAGGTGACAACGGGGCCCTGGAGGTGACAACTGGGGCCTAAAGGTGACAGCTGGGATCTGGAGGTGACAACAGGGACATGGAGGGGACAGCTGCAGCTGGGAGGTGACAACAAGAACATGGAGGTGACAATGGGGATCTGGAGGTGACAATTAAGGCCTGGAGGTGACAACAAGGACTTGAAGGTGACAACTGGTGCCTGGGGGTGACAGCTGGGACATGGAGGTGACAGCTGAAGGCAGGAGGTGACAACAAGGACTTGAAGGTGACAGCTGGGGCTGGGAGGTGACAACTGAGGCCCGGAGGTGACAACTGGGACATGGAAGTGACAGCTGTGCCGGGGAGGTGACAACAAGAACATGGAGGTGACAACTGGGATCTGGAGATGACAAATGAGGCCTGGAGGTGACAACGGGGACCTGAAGGTGACAATTGTGGCTGGGAGGTGACAATGGGGACATGGAGGTGACAGTTGGGATCTGGAGATGACAATTGAGGCCTGGAGGTGACAACTGGAGCTGGGAGGTGACATCAAAGACCAGGAGGTGACAATTAAGGTCTGGAGGTCACAACAAGGACCTGGACATAACAGCTGTGGCCAGGAGGTGACAACGGGGCCCTGGAGGTGACAACAGGGACATGGAGGTGACAGCTGTGCCTGGGAGGTGACAACAAGAACATGGAGGTGACAATTGGGATCTGGAGATGACAAATGAGGCCTGATGGTGACAACGGGGCCCGGGAGGTGACAATTGAGGCCTGGAGGTGACAACGGGGACATGGAGGTGACAACAAGGACCTGAAGGTGACAATTGTGTCTGGGAGGTGACAATTGGGATCTGGAGATGACAACAGGGATCTCAAGGTGACAACTGAGACCGGGAGGTGACAACTGGAGCTGGGAGGTGACAAGAAAGACTAGGAGGTGACAATTAAGGCCTGGAGGTCACAACAAGGACCTGGACATAACAGCTGTGGCCAGGAGGTGACAATTGAGGCCTGGAGGTGACAGCAAGGACCTGAAGGTGACAATTGTGGCTGGGAGGTGACAACAGGGACATGGAGGTGACAATGGGGATCTGGAGATGACAATTGAGGCCTGGAGGTGACAACAAGGACTTGAAGGTGACAACTGGGGACCTGGAGGTGACAATTGAGGCCTGGAGGTGACAACGGGGCCCGGGAGGTGACAATTGAGGCCTGGAGGTGACAACTGGAGCCAGGAGGTGACAACTGGGACATGGAAGTGACAGCTGTGCCTGGGAGGTGACAACAAGAACATGGAGGTGACAATGGGGATCTGGAGATGACAATTGAGGCCTGGAGGTGACAGCTGGGACCCAGAGGTGACAGTTGGGACCCAGAGGTGACAGCTGGGACCCAGAGGTGACAGTTGTGGCTGGGAGGTGACAACAAGGACATGGAGGTGACAATGGGGATCTGGAGACGACAATTGAGGCCTGA